GACATTTCCACTTCAAAAACCTCGAGATGCCAAGGTAATCGCCAAGACAAAACCCACAAATCCTACAAAAAACCATATCGAAAACACTACCATAGGGATCAACCCAAAGATATAGAACCTTTCTATAAGAAACCTTCCAACAAAACCCCCAAAAAACCCTTTAGAAAAACCCAGTTTAGGTCCCGACCTAGAACTAAGCTAAAGGATGTTACTTGTTACAAATGTGGACAAAAAGGCCATAAGGTAAGATATTGTCGTATGAATACTAGATTACAAGAACTTCATTTAGATGAAGATGTTTATAACAAAATCTCTCGCTTTGTTAGTCGATTCCTCCGACCCTTCGGACTACTCGATAGTGAAGAAACTTTTCGGATAGATGAACTTGTTACGTCTTCCAGTTCAAAACCCGAGTTCGATAGTGAACCCGATAACAAAACCAAACATGCCGGTGTCTTAACTAAAGACCAAGACCTAATTTTAGACATAGTCAAGAGGATTGATGATCCTCAATTACAAAAGGAATACTTAGATAGACTCTTAAAGTCCGTAGAAGATAAACCTTGTGAAAAACCAAAACCTTCTATCTTGCCTTCTACTAGTACTAGCACGTATGACCTTACTCGCTATCTTAGATAGGAAGAAGAAGACCAAGAAACATATGACCACTATTCAGGACCTTCGATCCGAGATTAAGGTCATCCAAACCGAGCTTAAAGAGCTCAAAGAGAAACAAAACAGAGACTCCAGTCTCTTAAAAATCTTGTTGGAAAAACGGGCGAGACAAAGAGCTAGACTCGACTGCGAAAACCATGAAAATGACCAAGAGTTGCCAAACCTTGAAAACCCGAAACACGTTCCAGAAGATTTCCTATTTGTTCTTTGAGAAGTTACTTCTAGGAAATATCCGATTAGGATTACTCTTGTATTCCAAAATGATTATAAAATTGATACAATTGCCTTTTTTGATACCGGTGTTGATTTGAATTGTATTAAGCAAAGCATTATTCCAAAATATTTCCATATGCACACACATGAACGTCTTTCTGCAAGCAAACAATTCCAAAATGACCATACATGGTAAGACGAAGCCTCCGTGGTCAATGGTAGCATTGCTATCAAAAATCATTTTCTCGCTTGTTGAAAATATGCATCATATGGTGATCTTAGGAACACCTTTCATTAATCTTATTACTCCTTATTCCGTGAAGCATGATTGCATATCTTTCAAAACCGAAATACAAAACCTTTTTTCCCATTTATTGAAAAACCTAGAATTAGAAATTTGAATATCATCAAATCATATTCTATTTCTGAAATTAATTCTATGATTCTTTGTACTCCTTTATATTTGGTTCTAAATATCCCTTCTACAAAACTCATAGGATCTTCCCCAACTTATCCTTTACAGTATGGGTCGATTTTATGAACAAAATGAAATTTATGACCAAGAGGAAGCCATTGATTTCAATCAACTACCCGTTCTTGAGGAAGATATCCTAGAAGACATTATGGACATAGTGGGTCTAGATACCGATCGGACGGAGGATTATTTAACTGGCTAGAGCCTTAGATAGATCTCCTCAAACTCTTGAAGAGTATGCTATAGATTCCATTGAAGATTTCATAGATGACCGAATTAATAAAGCACTTAGTGCTATTGAAAATGCTCTCTCCAAAACAAACTCTTTAGAGCGTTACCTTGATTACGAACTCCAAAGAGGCTCGATCAAAAACAAAATTCTACCCCAATATTGTGAGTTTGTAGCCATTATTGCTACCGTCCTAAGCATTATAACTAGCTTGTTAACTCATAAACCCCGCAACTCGCATTTTGCATCTTCATTTGCATCCAAAACATTTTCCTAAAACATTTTCAAAATCTATTATACTTTGGTTCAAATTCTACAAAATCTATTTTCTCAAAATCGCTTTTAAGGTTCTTGACTTGAGAATGTCCGCAAAGCAGTCTTGATGGCCAAGAAAAATAAAGGGAAAAACCTCCTTTTACCGTAAAGCCCAAAAGCCTTATTATCAGCAGAAACCCATCTCTCGGGCGGATGCTCGTCGAAAAACAAGATCCAAAAACTCCAATCAAAGCCCAATCCATTGAAAATTGGGTCCGGAATCTCATAAAACAGTCGGAACTCCTTCCGGCCTCGCAAAAATCTCAAGTATGAATCTTGAACCCATTTCAAAACCGGAGGAAGGTTCTTCTTCTTCGAAAAACCCCTTTCTCCAAAACCAAGTGATTCTTCAAAACTTATTTCTCAAAATACTACTTCACAAAACACTTAGGTGATTGTTTCGATAAAACTCGTTTACAAAAAATCCACATCCGAGTATTTTCTCAAAAAAGATTTTTTAAAAATTTTTACTATCGAAGATGTCTATTTCTTTGACAAACCTTACAAAATTGTTCGAAGTTCTTTCCTCCAGGATGGCACTTCACTCCTTAGGACTTATCAAAAGCAAGCCTATTATATGGCCATCCTAGGAAAAAAAAATCAGTCACCTTCAAACACTTCCTCACCCCCGACAAAACCGAAACTCGCCTATTCCACATGTCGAATCCTTAAAATGATCCATCCTTCCGACTAGGGCCAAGACCTTTCCTTTCAAATTGTGTTCCCGGACAATTTCAAACCCAAGTGTTAACCACCGTCGTTCTTTCTTTTACTAGGATTATTGGCAAGCATGATTTAATACTATGTTCCTCTAAAACCGCAAAGGAAGCCATTCCCGGCTTTTCTATTTTGACACAAAATTCATCTTTACAAACATCCCTATGTGGTTCACCTAATGGTGGAACTACTTTGGTCCTACTCCGTACATACTCACTCTAGTAATTACCGAGAATTATACTATCTTCAAAACACAATACAAACCATCGAAAGTGAAAAAAGATTCACCCCTCTTTTCCTTTTCTCGCACAAAATCTTCCTTCCTTGGGTTTGTTCCCGGTATTATGAAACACAATATCAAAACCAGGCTTTAATCCTTGTCCGAAGGTTCAAAGTGAAATGGTGGGACTCCTTCCGAGTTCCATCATCCATATCCAAAACAGTATTGAAGAATGGCTTACAAAACAAGGTTTACTCAAGCCATCATTCTCAACAACAAATTTTCTTGCACAAAAATCGTTGCTAATGCTAGACTTGCGACAGCAAGAAACGAGAAGAAGAATACTTCGCCATCATGTCCGAGATGGTACAAAACAGATCAAATTCCTCACAAATAGCAGATTCGGATTCCGAGTCGAACCCATGATAAAATTAGGCAATGACAACGAAGACGAATGCTATGACATTTTTTGCCAAGTTCACCATCCGTGAACTCCAAGACAAAACTTGCATATTCCGTGCGATTTCCTATCTCCGACAAAACAGCTTATCCCTAGAAACAAAAATTTTCACAAGATCATCACTCGTTCATCCCACGTGACACAAGATGACAAAATTGCTTTCGGCGTCTTACCGTTCATCAACACATGAAGACACTTTAGCAAATTACTATTTACTTTTACCGTACATTTTTACTATTCATAGGTACTCGTTCATGGTACTATTCATAACAGACTTTCTCTATATAAAGAAAGCTTATTTCATTTGTAATTCAAGTTTTTCATTTGCGTAAAATTTATCTCTCTAAGTTTTCGGACATTCTCTATGAAAGATTTCTCTTTGTAATCCCGTTCCTTCAAGATTCGAAAACTTCTCCTATTGTAAGGTACTTTTCTTGTAAATAAATAAAAGTTTCTTACATATATATATATATATATATATATATATCTCTTAAGGTATATCAGTTGGAATACCACGACTCGGCTCAATAACGGTACTCGGTATCATCGTAGCCGAACTCGTGGTCTAACAACGCCATGTACCTTTTCGTTTATCTTACTCGATGGTCGGCTCTGCCGCCCATTTATCAATCTGCATTTCATTCATCTTCTATTTCATACCCCGTACCATTTTTTAGATCCTTGGGGTTATTAATAAATAAAAGTTTCTTACATTTATATATATATATATCTCTCTCTCAAGGTATATATATATATATATATATATATATATATATATTCAAAAAAAAAAAAAAATAGGCGGTCATCCCTCCCATATATAAAAGCTACATATAATGCATGGGATCATATGATTATATGCATTCGATGGACATTGCCAAGCTATATAATATCCAATTTAAGCCATAAATTCAATGGTATCCTTAGGCAAGTAAATTCCTCTTAATCGATTTCTAAGTCGGCTATTCATAGTCAGATTGGTGCTGTTCATAATATATATACATATATATATTCTTGCCGCTTCTCCCAAATTCTAACGTGAGAAAAATATTTGACAAACTTGTTATATTTCTTCCAATTTAATTTAAATGCATTGAGATTATGCTGTATTCTTATTTTGTTTTGGATAGACTTGAGTAAACCTTTTGATAACCCTGCACCTGATTGAATTTAGATGAGCAAAAGCCTGTATTCAAGATCAAACTCACTTATATTAAACGTGAAAGTAAACTACATGATACTGAAGTTCCAAATTCTGAACCTGATCGAAGTGCAAATTGCCCGAACTAAAATGTAAATATTGGCAATTCTTCCTAGCAAATATGGTATCAGGTCATTATTTGGATCCTCTTAGAAAGAGAGCAGCGAGAAGCACAAGTATATCCACAAGTTGTGTCATTCCAATGTAGCAGACCAACCCATAACTCCATTAGCAATTCAGGTTCACAAACATTTACTGCTTAGGAATTTAGTCGTAAGCTGAAGACTGCAACTTAGGATTTTGATGAGGTGATGCTGAACTTTCTTCACAGAGCAGGTATTTTAGCAGTATTGTATACATGTATTTCCCCGTGCTCTGTAAACTTAATTAGTCAGATGCATTTTTCTTCAGCTATCCGGCATCAGATTTATTTATTTCTCAGGCTAGTTGTTGGTGGATGGTAATTGGAAGGTGTTGATTGGTGTGGTTTGCCAAGGACTATTGCATACCGGAGAGGATCCAGTCGCAGATGTTAGAAACATAGTAGATGCGGCTGTGGTTGCAGGTGATGGTTGTGAAGAAAAGAATGGCATTTGCAGGGATGGGAACATTTCCATGAGCAGAAATTGGATGCATTCCTGCTGCCGCTGCTGTCGATAGCGAGGGTTGTAGACAGGCTGAGGGAAGTGATATCATCGGAGGACCCAAAGAATGGCACATACCGAACATTCCCATTCCCATTCCTAGAAATGGTTTGATGGGTGCAAATTGGGAAAACTGGGGAACCTGCATGTTTGGAATTCCAACCTGTGGCAAAGATGATGGGGTTTGCCACAATATTGCTCCTCCACCCCTGCACATCATCTGATGAACATCAAGAAAAATGGTTTAATAGCAGATAAGGCTTGAGGAAGTGGGATTGGATTACACAAGAGCCACAGAGACTGATTACCTTAACTTGGAGCTTTAAGGCTTTGATATGTTCAACAGCATCTTCCAGCATGGAAACTCTGTCGTGCTGAAATTCAGTAGGACATTTCGGTTAGACACAAAAGTTAACATTTTGGAGAATCCTAATACCCGGCCCTATCATCCAATGCCCAGAATATTCTGTCTTGGTAAGATATTGCAGCAACAAGGATCCCATGCTATCCTAATTTCTACCAATTGCTAAGTATCAACTATTGGCATCATGAATGAAGTTCCTACACCTGATGAATTAAATAAATACAGCAAAAGAAAAACCTCATAAATTGAAGTACGTAAAGTCACTCTCTAAATACCATTCACAGTTGTTTGTCCCTTGATACAAATTCTGAAATATATAGAAAAGAGCAACGGTGACCTTGCGACAATTGGGTAACAATTTCTGAAGATTCCGCAGCTTTTCGTTAATCTGGTCCCGACGCCTCTGGTCAATAACATATTCAACCATAAATTATTTTTCTTTTTTATAATCAACGCAAATCATAGATGAAAATATTTGAAACATTTTATCAAGAAACATAAAGTTGCTATTTGCAACTCACTCTCTCATAAATGTTATGCATATCAGCAGAACGAATTCTTTTCGGCCTTTGATCATGCTTCTTTCTCCTTGGTTCTCCACAGAGCTTGTCAATATCAACGTTATTCTGTTAATTTCAATAACAAGAGTAAGAAACATATGGTTGCTATTTTTGGCTTTGTTCCTGGCATAACAGATCATCCAGCTTAATGTTCCTAAGACTTAAATTGCTCAACTCCACAAGGAAACTTTATTGAAGGAATATCATATGATTCCACCAATGAAAAATTGTTTTGAACACACACGCACAGAGGTATTCTAGTTGCCTAGGTTTATGTCAACGTCCAAAGGCTGTACCGTTATGTTGACGTATCATATGATTAAGGGTGAAAGGATGGCTTGCATTCTTGAACTATTGGTCAAAATACATCCTTGAACTATTGGTCAAAATACAAGTAGGCTCTACAAAAATTATTCGTTGCAAAAAAAAAAAAAAACAAAAAAGGGATTCAAACGAGTCCTCTTTCTATGTAAAATTAAGTTTCTATCCTCTTCTTAACCTCAATTGGATGAAAACCTAGTTTTCCTTAACATAAGGATCTGATTAAATTCTCATATTTGTTCAGAGACTAATGAGATTTAATAATTTTTCAGGAACTGACCGCACTTTCACTTCAGGAGATCACTGGAGACTTCTTACCCTATGACTATGACGAATAAAAATTACAGGACTACATGTATAAAAATGAAAAGAGGAAACCATCATTGTCATCCATAAGGTTTTCTTCATACTTAATTTCGCCATAAATCAATTAATTTTATCAATTCCATCCTGAAATTATAAGATTAGAAAGTGTTGTTGAACAATAGAATTAGACAACGTTGTCTTTCTAGCTACAATCAAAATACCTGGAAAAAAAAAACAAAAACGCAATATGATTCTTGCATGGAGAGTGAAGATTGCAATTCCATTATGATTATGTATGTAGGTTTTTTTTTTTTTTTTTTGAAAAAAAATGGATACAAAAGCATAAAATCTGTCCAGTTTGTGCTACTCACTTCAGTTGTTGTAGAGTTTCGAAAGATAATTTCCTCGAAGTTCCTTTTACTTCGACTTGGTTCTCCCTTGCACTGTTCCCCTGGAAATTCGCTTACAGGCTCAGAGATATTGGTGGCCTGTAAAGTTGGATCACACCCAGTGTCTGCTGAACCCTCAAAATCGTCTTGAAAATTATCCCTATTGCCCATTGCGTTGTCCTTCAAAAAATCAAATTCTTGGAACCAAAAATCAGGAAGCACAAAACACCTCCTTGATTATTTACAGCTTGATTAACCTCATGCTTATTACTTGAATTGCCCCCCAGGAGCTCGCCAAACTGCATGCTGTCGTTGTTCATGTTAATGAGAGCAGGAAACAAATTAAGACACTCACAAACAAGCATTGATTATGAATAAAAATATATAGGCAGGGAGAGGCTTAGGTCGGTTTTGAATAAGAAAAATGGCTGAAATCAAACCAATTCGCTACTTTTGGAAATGTTAGGAAATAGGAACGGGTCGTTTTGCCAGCAGTACTACTGTTCTGAGGTTTGGATTTTTAACTTTCAAGTACGGTGTTTTGCAACCTTATGGTCATGTCCAAATCTACCGCAGGTAGGTGTTGAACAGTTGTAAACACACGTAGACACGTACCAGTGACAACTGTCCATATATCCTGTGAAGCCCTTAAGAGCCTCCTCCGTTGCTCCTTGGAAAGAAACTGAACATGTACATGAACCTAGGGAAAGAATATTTTGTAGGCTAAAGCAAACCCATGGCAATGATGCAGTCATGCACGGGGTTGAGTCTATCTTGTCTCCTTTAACGTTCTTTTTTTCCTACTGCTTGAGGCATCTTTCACTTGTGGTGCGGATCAACAGGTGTTAAATTTCATGGAATGGTATGAGTGTGACAGAACCGAACAAAATTGTTAGCCTAATTTTGAAGGTTTTTTAAACATAGTTCGATACCAAACGGATCAATAACCAAAACTCATTGGTTTTGCCCATGATGTAGGGGTATTTTGGCTAAAAAACATCATTTAGGCTCTCAAAATAGTAATTTACCTGGTTTTTTGATATTTTTCCTTGATATAGTGTTTGTTTCCTTTTCAAATTGTTTTAGGGTTTTGGTTGAAAATTTACTATTTATGTATGACTTTGAGGTCAAAAAATGCCATTTTTGCTTGATTAATAAACTTTTGTGAGAGAGTATCTCGGCTTTTCTAATTTTTGGCATTCTTTGAATCAACGGGATTAAAGCCTATTTCTTGGTATTTGTGTGTGCAATTCAACATGTTATAGTAGGTCGGTATTTGGATTTCGATCAATGGTATTTATCATTTTCTTATGAGTTTCAGCTACGTCGGTTAATATTAAAGCTCGGATATCGCTTTCCGACCATGCCGCCAAGGAGACAGCAGCATCAAAAGTGAGATATGAATGAAATCTATGAGTGCATTGATGGAATGCATTTAGAATAACAAGTTGAGCGAGATGGATGATAGGATGAAGCGAGTTGATATAATAGATAGGGGTGTTGGCATAGTAGATGGGTACGTTGACGATGAACATGGGTAGAGGCCCTAAGAACCAAAATCGAAATCATTATTGAGAGGCATCAAAGGTCGACCTTGATGACGAGAAGGATGATGAAAATATCTCAATCAAGTGACAAAGAGTTCTTATAAGGGATTTTGACGAGTAGAAGGTAGGAGAGTGGTATGCGATCGGAGATTTTTGAATTTTATGGTACCTTCTAAGCGTAAAAGTTTTTGGATCGGTTGTTGACGAGTGGATGAGATTCGAAGTTTAAGGAAGTTCCTAAAGACAAGTAGGTGTCCTTAATAGCCACCAAATTTATAAAGAGAGCGACCGGTTGGTAGGAACAATCGAAGCCGATCGAAATAGGATGGGTAAGCTTAATATCATGTCTTGGGAGAAGATGAAGAAACACATGCATATTGTCTTCTTACCCTATAACTTTCAAAGGATGATGTACTAACGGTTACGGGATTTGAGACAAGGGGCTCGATCGGTAGATGATTGCACCATTTAGTTCTATCGGTTATTAGCTCGTAATGAATTGTAAGAGACGAGAGGATTAGCTAGTGGCAAGGTATATTGGTGGGCTGAAACCATAGATTATAGGCTCCGTTAATATGTTTGACCTTGTGTGTCTTTCGATTGTCTTTCAAAAAACATTACGGATTGAGAAGCGATCATGTGGTTCGAGCAGTTTTATTAACCTTTTAGTACAGGGGGTAGTAGTGGCTTAGGTGGTGGTGGTGTAGGCCAAAAAGGAGGTGACAATAACGAAGCACTCCGTTATTAGACATATTGGTATGGCGACTTGTAATAATATAAAGTGTTTCAACTGTGACAAAATTGGCCATAAGCAATTTGAGTGTCGAAATACGAGGAAAAAGGTGCTTCTTGCGATATAGAGGATTATGATGGAGGTGATATAGAGCTAGTTGATGAACCTATTTAAGATGATAGAGACTCATAGAGGAGGAGGTTGTGATGGACGATGAGGGAACATCACCGGTTGTTCGAAGGTCTTGCTTGACTCTTGGGGTTGCTCGAGGATGATTAGCTAAGGAGTAATATCTTCTAGTCCACTCGCATAATTCAAGGAAAGGTATGTCGATTTATCATTGGTGTTGGTAATTGTGAGAATATGGTGTCTAATGAGGTAGTACATAAATTAAGTCTTAAAACAGAGGGGCATCCCGAGCCCTACAAGCTGGTTTGGCTTAAAAATAGGAAAGAGGTAATCGTTTCTCAATGAGCTCTAATTCGTTTTCAATTGAGTCTAAGTATAAAGATGATGTGTGATGTGATATGATTGCCATGGATACACGTCATTTGTTGTTGGGTAGACCATAGGAGTATCATAGGAGTGTAACCCATGATGAGTAAGCTAATACCTATAGGTTCATGTTTAATGGGATCAAAATTGTGCTTATGCCTAGCAAGATTCCAGTTGTTTCCAAGCTCGTATGGGATAATAGTAAGTGTGTATCGCTAGCTTCGTTTAAGAAGAAGGTGTAGGATTCGGGAGTGATCTATGTGTTGATTGAGAAGGAAGCCGAAACCGATGAGGTAGTGCCGGAGGCAATAGCCCCTCTTATGGTAAAATTCAAAGAAAGGTATGTCGATTTATCATTGATGTTAGTAATTGTGAGAATATGATGTCTAATGAGGTAGTTCATAAATTAAGTCTCAAAATAGAAGGGCATCCTAAGCCCTACAAACTAGCTTGGCTTAAAAAGGAAAGAGAGGTAACTCGTTTTTTAATGAGCTCTAATTCCGTTTTCAATTGGGTCCAAGTATAAAGATGATGTGTGGTGTGATATGGTTGCTATGGATACATGTTATTTGTTGTTGGGTAGACTATAACGAGTATCGGTATCATAGGAGTGTAACCTATGATGAGCAAGCTAATACCTATAGGTTAATGTTTAATGGGGTCAAAATTATGCTTGTGCCTAGCAAGATTCCAGCTTGTTTTGAAGCTCGCATAGGATAATAGCAAGTTAGTACCACTCGGCTTAGTTTAAAGAGGAGGTGTAGGATTCGGGAGTGGTATATGTATTGATTGAGAATGAAGCCAAAGCCGATGAGGTAGTGTTAGAGGTAGTAGCCTCTCTTGTGGCAAAATTTTATAATGTATTCTCGGATGAGTTGCCTAAGGAGTTATCACCATTGCGAGACATCTAGCACCAGATTGATTTGAGTCTAGTGTAATAATGACCAATAGACCCCATTATAGAATGAGTCTTAGTGAGCATGAGGAGTTGAGAAGGCGAGTTGAGGAGCCGCTTGTCGGGAGGTATGTGCGAGAGAGCTTGAGTCCTTATGCGGTACTTGTTTTGTTGATGCCAAAGAAGGAGCGTTCTTGGTGTATGTGTATAGACAATCGAGCCATTAACAAGATCATAGTTCGATACGGGTTTTTATTCCATGACTAGATGACTTACTTGATCGGATCAATGGCACAACGGTATTTACAAAACTCGGATTTGAAGAGTAGATATATCATATATGCATTAGTCCTAAAGATGAGTGAAAGATGGTCTTTAAGACACGTGAGGGATTATATGAATGGTTTGTAATAATGTTTAGGTTATCAAACCCGTCGAGTATTTTTATACGTGTCATGAATCGGGCATTGAAACCATTTATCGATAAATATATCATTTTTTACTTTAATGATATTGTAATTTATAGTGCTAATCTTGAAGTCCATATTCAATATTTGAGAGAGCTTCTAATAGTGCTTTGCGAGAGATAAGTTTCATGCAACGGTGAAAAAATATGCGTTAATGGAACCCAAAGTGTTGTTTCTTGGTTATATCATTTATGGAGATGGATTGTAGGTAGATGAGTTCAAGGTTGAGGTGGTGAGACAATGGCCTTAACTCGACAATGTTACCGAGGTTCGGAGCTTTCATGGACTTACCTCTTTTTATCGAGGCTTTATTCCTCACTTTAGTAGCATTATGGCCCCGATTACTAACTGCATGAAGGAAGCTAAGTTTACTTGGACTTAAGAGGCGGAAGAGGCATTTCGAAAGATTAAGACATGATTAATGTCCGCATCGATTTTAATGTCGTTAGATTTTATACAACCCTTCGAGCTACATAGTAATGCATCAAAATTAGGTATTGGGGGCAGTGTTGAATTAGAACAGTAGACTAGTGGCCTACTTCGGTGAGAAGCTATCGAGTGCGAAGCTTAATTACAATACTTATGAAGTGGAGTTTTATGTAGTGGTTTAGGCTTTTAAACACCGAAGGCATTACCTATTCCATAAGGAACTCGTATTATATATCGACCATGAGGTATTGAAACACCTACAATAGTAAGATAAGGTGTTATCAAGGCATGCGAAGTGGATTGCTTATTTGCAACAGTTTACGTTTGTGGTTAAATATAAGGTCGGGGTCATTAATAGAGTGATGGATGCTTTGAGTAGGAGGAGGTGTTTGCCGACGCGTATGCGAGTTAAGGTACTTGGTTTAAAGTCATTTTGGGATTTACTTAATACTGATTCATATTTTTCTATTGTTATGGGGAAGGTTCACGTAGGGGAGAAGACAAAATTTCTATTACATGATGAGTTCCGTTCAAGGAAAACCAGCTTTGTGTTCCAATTATAGTTTGTGTGTGTAGATTATTAAGGAATTGTATGGGGAGGGTCA